ATCATACCAAGAAGCTGTCTGCCTTCCATCCTAAAACGTCTAATTATTGCGGCTGACTTGGTTGCAGAGTAGATGATGTTCAATCACTCGCAATTCGTTTGCAACGACTTGAAGAAGCCCTTGTTCGATTTTCATCTAGCGTACAAGCCTCCACCTCGCCTCTCAGCAATTTCACGACCACCTATTACAGCCCAAACTCCCGACGATCGAGTGTCTGGGGATTATGTAGCAATTCCAGTACATCCGAGGAAAGCCAGACAGATAAATTGGTTGCTGAGCCTTTGGGGAGTGATGGGTACGAGCAATCGAGCTCAATTTATACTGAAGCTCAAGCTGCCGGTGACCAGTTTGCCTTGTCATTGCCACCATCAAACAGCCCCGGGTTATCAATTGAAGCCCCCTCTACCTCTGGCTCGGTGCTGCAAGCTCAGATTTCCAGGCTGAGTGCACTCTTTCAAAGGCTGGCCAAGGACAAACCTCCACTGTTGGATTTTCCCCAATATGATGACCAGCCGTCCCGTCTTCCACCACGAGCCTTTCTGGAAACCTTCATCGACATATACTTTACCGAGCTCAATCCGTTGCTCCCCATATACGACCGACAGAGCGTTCTGACGGCCATGCGGACTCAATACGAAACAATGGACGTTCCTGATCCAGCCTGGATTGTATCGCTCAACAGCATCCCCCTTCAGACATTGGAAGGAAAGTCCACCGCAGCGAAGAAGACGGGCATGATACCTCTAGAAGCGGGCCTTATCACCCACCTATTGCAGAACATCCGGCGATGCTTCAACAATTTCCAAATCTTACTAGAACCGCGTATGGCAAATGTGCAAGCCCTCTTGAGCCTGGTATGACAGATCTGCATTTGTTTGAACCCAACTAAAGGTTGATGCAGGCTTTGTTTGCTCTCAAGTACTTGCAATTCACTATGTTCGAGGCACTCTTTACCCAAGCCTGTGAGCTCGCCAAATCGATGGGATTACACCGGAGCAAGGGCAAACCATACGCTGAGGGTTGGAACCTGTTCTGGTCTCTTTTCATTATAGATGTAAGTTCGTCATCACCTTTCCTGTTCTCCGCTAATCGAACAAGAAACACACAGCCCTAATAAGCGGCACACCATGCCTCTTGCCATCCTATGACATTGGTCTCCCGCTTCCCACCAGCTCCGGCATGCTACTCAGCGATCAATTCGATGCGCGCATCTCCCTCGCTCGGATTCAGGAAAGAATCTCTCGCAGTCTTCACGCCAGCATGCCACAAGTCAGTTGGAAATGCTTGGGACAGCGTGCCTATAAGCTTGTCCGACGCCTCAACGATTGGACCACCCAGCACAGTCACATTCTCTACCCTCCAGCCAGCACCACCACTACTGCACAGCAGGCCATCGAACTCCGATACGCCCTCTGCATCTGCCATGTGTTAGTGCAGCGCTGCATACCTGCTTCGGAGAGTCGCCACGCTCGACTTGAGCATGCTCGCACGGGGTTGCAGCTTCTTCAGGAACTGTGTGAGAGCTACCATCCGGGCGACAGCATTTCCGGCTTCTCCATGTTTGAAAGGTGAGTTGTTTTCCACATTACTTTTCCAGTTAGAGGACTGATACAAATTGTTTGCCAGCATCCTGCTACGTTACCCCATTGTCCCCTTCCTCGAAGTCTACATCCACCTCCTCAACCCCGAAGATAATGACAGTCCAGCTGTCGTGACTTCCGACGTCAATGCCCTTGTTTTCTTCGCCAAACGCGCAGAGTGTCTTGCTACAAACGCTCGTGAAGGCTCTCATGCCGATACTATCCGCTCTATATCTCAGCTATGTAGTCAGATTGCTACTTCGATTCTTCAGCAGAACCGGAGTCCTCAAGAACAAATACCAGCACCGCATAGTCCCGAACCAAGATGTGAATTGGAACCCCCGACACAGAATAACCATTCAATTGACTTTGGTGGCACAAGTATTTGGGGTACAGATTTCGGGATGATGACGGATGGTATATACGATGATGTGTGGTGTTAAATGCGTGTCTATAATCGTACGCCAGTTACTAGCTGAATAGTCTTCAACGGACTCCTCTATGAAAGACAGATAACCCTACAACACTCTTCGCTTTCCTGTACATGATTTAGAACGACTACTGGCTCACAAATATAATTCTGACCATGTTGAATGACTTGTTAGTTCATTAATGAAATCTCCCATCACAACCAACGCCATAAGAATCATACCAGATGACTAGTTCACTACTGCAACGGATTGACCACATTCACACTCAGCAGTTCAATCAACTCATCCACATCCTGCAACTCCTCCATCCCCAGCACAGCCTTTTCAATCTTCTCCTGCCTCTCCACCCCAATCAACCCGCCCGTCAACCGGCGAAACTTCTCCAATATCTCCTCATTTGAAATGGGTTCATCCACCCCCTTGGGCTTCAACAACGAATGCTGAACCTGACTGCCATCCGCAAACCTGATGGAGATCAACGCACCACACCCAATATTCGGCTGGTCCAACTCCGCCGTATGCACACAACTCGTCTTTCCAATCAATTCCCAAACCTCATCCCGATCCAACTTTCCCGACGAGAACTGCTCCAACAACACCTGTCCATCCACCAACTGCGACGCCGCCACAAACGCCGTATTCATCTGCGCCCCCGTCGGGGTCAACGGCCTCGTCTCCGGCGCCCATCCACAATGATGAAACACGGCATCACTCAGCTGGATCCGAATCTCCTTGATCTCTCCCAATTTTCCTCTCTCAAATCGCTCCGGATACATCTCCTGCATCTCCGCCAAACATTCAATCGTGCCATGAATCCCCCCACAGCACGCATGCAACTTCAACCGAATCCACTCCGCCGTATGCCAAAACGTCCCCAAATCCTTCGCCACCTCCTCCGGCTTCGAACTAGGCGTATGCTTCGATCCCAGTCCAAACATTGCCAGAAACCCTCCATAAGGCCGCTCAAATACCTTCTTGATCCCTTCGTATCCTCCCCACGCTAACATCGTGCCCAACAGCCCATTCCGCGCCGCAAACCCGTGATGCATCCGCTTCACCATCCCGTCATACTGAGCCGCCATGAGCCCGCATGCTTGTGTCGCTGCTACTCCGATTGCATCTTCGATTTGACCCGCCGACAACCCGAGTAATTTCGCGGAACTACCTGCAGCCGCGGGCCCCCCAAATACAGACCCGCAGTGCCATCCCTTTGCGAGCATCTCGGTGCCGTGCAGCGCCATGCCCACGCGCGGACCAACTTCGAACCCTACCACCGAGGCGAGAAGGAGGGCTCGCCCGTCGATGATGCGCGGAGCGGTCGGATGGTCCCGTGCACTGACGGCGGCCGCGAAGAGAGGGGGGATCACCACAGCTTGTGAATGTAGGGGCGCCACGCTGTGGTAGTCGTCTACTTCGCATGCTTGGATCCAGGAGCCGTTGAGGGTTGCGGCCGCGATGGCACCGAGGCGCTGTCATGGATTAGCAGTATATCCAAAACTACTCAATTCATTCTTCCTCATCTTGAATTGGATATGAGAAGTAAGAGATGGGAGGGAAGAATACCTCTTCATACCCAATAACCACATGCTTCCCCTTCTCCTCGAAGACAGCCATCGCATCAAAAGCCTTCTGCGACCATGGGACGCGTGCACCGACAAGTGCGCAGGCGATGCCATCGAGGAAGAGGTACTTGGCGCGGGTGCGGACAGAGTCCGGGATGTCTTCTAGTTGAAGGGAGGCGATCCAGGTGCAGAGTTGGCTGGTGACGCCGTTGGAGGAGTTGTATGCTTTGGTATCTTTCTCCTCTGCTGCTGTTACTTCCTCTTTTTCTTGGGATTGAAGGTCTTTTTCTTTCTCTTTTGGACCATCTACCCCGTTGAGGGTAGTATTGGTGGTAGGGATGGGCGAAGTAGCAGAAGCTGCTTCAGATTTAGCAGTGATGGCGACCATATTGGATGTATTATAGAAACTTCCTAGAATAATTCTTGATTGATTGATTGATTGAGAAAGAATGACCCATCTTCCAGATATTCGACACCCTATTTATAACCCCAAAGACACGCAGAGAGAACGTCATCCAAACAAGTAACACGAGACAAGCAATCAACACGGACAACGTCGGTGTACCTTGCCTGCCCTACCACTCCCTACCTACCTGCTCTACTACTACCATCATAACACCTACTGACAAACCAGTTAGTATCCCACACAAGCCCCCTCACTCAATATCCAAACTATGAAATGATTGGTCCCGGTAATGCAGGAAGGAAGCTAGTTGGACGCCTAGAAAGTAGTCTAATGCTCCTCCAGTCGGATAAGAGGAGGATTTCGGGGGTGTTAACAATACCAGTCAATTATAGGCTGGGCCGACCGGGTTCCGAGAGCCGATTTTCGTGTTAGTCTGGTTTTCTCTGTTACTTTTGGCTCTCAGAGGTCTGGTGATCTTGGTTTATGGGCATGTGATGGTGAACTGTATATAGAATTTTTTTTTGGGATATTGATTTATGTCATGAGTGGTGTTGTCTGTATGCATTGCATCGCTGAATTACTTCCTGTCGATCGATCGGTTGGTTGTGTGGGATGGAAAGTAAGTAAGCAGTAGGCAGTAAGCAGTAAGCAGACCGGGTAATCGGCGCTATTGTGTTATAGAGAAGAGGACATATAGAAGGTGGGGTGGGAATGAGGGCTTACGCTTGGGCCTTATCTATAATGTATATTGGTGGATTATTATAGTCTCGGAGTCGCGTATGACGTATGTCGTGAACGGAGGCAATCAATTGCCTTCTTGGGGAAATAATCTATTCTATTCGACTACTTCCTGTTGGTCGTATCGTCTAGTGTACGATTCATTCCTTCCTTGCTTTGATTACTGTTCGTATTTAAGGTTGAGTTAGTTACATAATCTGCTGTCTTGCTATGTTGAACCCTATGTTATCACCAAATCTGTCTCTCCACTGTCTCAACTCCCATTGTCTGTGAACAATTTATGCTGAGAAGTGCGAGACCACGTCTCTTCTGAATACAGACTAGTGAAGCCCTCATGATGGCCTGGCGTGACTTGAATATCTAGATGATCGCAGAACGTATTTCCGCCACTGCAGTTGAACCCTTCCATGTCTACCCACCGATTGCGCCACAGTTAGAGACTGGTTTCCGGTCCTGGCATTTACTACCTCACTACTCTCAAGCATTAAATGTATCCTAATCAGGGAAACAATAGGTAACGTTCTTCAAAGTCTGATGTGAGGCATAGCATGTCAGACCTGACTGCCCTATTTATACTGATTAATTATATATCAAAACTATGCATACACCAAATACTATATACCACAAGCAATCACTACTGAATCAATCATACGTCTTCAGCCAAGTAAGCGGCGTCTCAGGCATCATACCCGCCGCCACCAACTGCCCCCTCAGCTGATGCACACACAGCACCTCTCCACCGGGAATTGTCTCCGAAGTCTCCAAATCCGCCCACCAGAACCGAAATATCGGCTTGAACCTCTCCAACTCAAAGAACTCCTTTAGCATGCCTTTTTTTACGTGCTTCCACATATACACTATCTCGGCCCGCCACGCCCACCCATGTCCCTTGATTTGCCAGTCCCGGGCAGTCAGAAGCATCATCGCCTCGACATATCGCACCGGCATGGGCATCTTAACCGGGTACAGGGTATCAGGGAACCGGCCCCAATGCTGCTTGTCCTTCTGGGGAGGGAGACGGGGATTACTGGCTAGGATGAAATGGGGGTCATCTTCGAACAGTTCTCCTAGAGTGAGCTCAGGCAGGTCCCAGAAGAGATATCGCTTCTCGTATAGATAGAGATCAGTGTGGAACTCCGTGTTCATCTCTCCCCAGACACTCCCGTTTAGGTGGAATGAGTAGGAGGGGATGAAGGGGGTTTCGCGGGCTGAATAGGTCCTTTGTCCCATGTGGGGAAAGGGACAGAGCAGATGGGTGTAGTGCATGGGTTGCTCATCGGGAAAGTTGGCTTTGCGGAGGATGCGGATTGCTCTGTTTATATCATGGCTTTCGAGGACGAGTTCGATGTTCTGTTAGGCTTGGTTAGTCGGTTGCAACTAGTAAAGATGAGATCAGGCAGTTGACTTACGCCGCGGAGCCCAGGCGCTCCCAGGGCTTCAGACATGTAGTCGCCAATTAGGAGACATGGTATACCGTTCTCTTCAAGGAGTTGTACAATATCGGCGATGAGCTCGTAGTTCACCTCCTGGCCTGTGTATTCGTATCCAGACATTTTGGTTTGATGCAAGTAAGGCAGTGTCACTGGAGAACAGGAATGTGTGCTCAAAGGTGGGTTGAGAGGAATATAAATCATTGGAGTTGCATGCCTGGCCATGGTGATTGTTGAAGCCAAACCTTGTACAAATGAATGACATGGGGTTTGGTGAGGATATCTTCCACCTGGTGGAGGACACATATAGGGTTACTCCTTGTTCTGCAACATAATAGAGATGTTATGCAAAGAAAACTTTACTGTCAGTTGCCGGTTGCATATAGCCCACTAGTATTAGGGCGCTTGAGCTGGACTGTAGCGAACCATCGGATTCGGGGCTCTCCGGATGGACAGAGAGGAGTGTATATCATGCCTTTGTTTGCTTTTTCTTAGAGCTACCAGGCATGCTTCAGTTCGTTCTTTATCTTGGAAAGTTCATTGGATATTATTGTGAAAGGTAGATTGCGGCTGTGCTGGAATTTCCCACATCGCATATCGCACATCTGTTGAAACATTTACTACCAACTTAGTCTCGAGGTATCAAGAGTTTTCTTCAGATGCATCCTCTTACACCTGATATCTCGGGGCCGTAAATGTAGTACTAATACCAGTGAAGCAAATACATGCCTTGGGAGGGGGCTCCAACCCTGTCTAAAACTGCGGTCAGTGTAACTTACCTTTTATAAGAGCTTGTCGACTATAGTCTTTCAATTGGACCTTAACGGTAAATCCCGGTAGCATGATCCATTCAAGAGGGAGTGCAAAGACTTAGCTATAAGCATGAAAGGCTAGATAAATCCCATTTAGACTCCTTTTGTGGAATATTCTGATCCACGGAACATTCCATAAGTTCAAAGGAATCACATCTATCAGAGCCTGCCGCTTGAGTACAAAGCGTATACGGTTTGATCAATCAAGTGCTTTGTTCGCTACGTGTCTTAACCTAAGTTCATACAACTCAAACGATTTTTACTGCGCTTTGAAATAAAAAACCAGCGCCACTACCAATATACAATTAAAATTAAGTCTACTGGTTAGCGAGTTGACATACAATCCTTGCGATAGACTTCCACAAGAACCGTCATACATACTTCTACTAGCAGCATTGAGCTTGTTCACATCGAAAACCGTCGAGGAAGCGGAGAACATGATGATCGACGGTGGTACCCAGGATGGAAGTATTTATTCTTCAACTCCTTAAAAACCGAAGACCATACAGGTTTCTCCAGCGTCAGTCAGTCATATCTGAGAATTCGACTGCATAAAACATCTACAGAGTCATTTTCGATCAACCGCCTGCACCGGATCATAAGGCTACAATCCTGATCTCTGCTCAAAACGCCGAGAAAGATGCTATAAATCTTCTATCATATCAGAGAAGATGTCGCCATAATCATGGACTATGCAGCAAAACACATACCATATTGCTGGGAGTAGATAGAACGCCCAAGGAGTCGAGACTGTATTGCAGATGCCAAAGAATCACCTAGCAGGCTTCGAAGAAAGCGCCAAAGATATCTCTCCCCCTCACGACTCCAGAGCACTGACCGGGCGTAACCCTGATCCACCAATAATTAATTGCACCAACTGGTTCAACCAAGAAGGGTTTCGAGAATATCCCCAAACAATCGCTCATCCACATACTGCCCATCCAGACCGTTTCTTTGACCGCCCAAAGCGGCAGAACTCCATCGACCTCGCAAAGAAAAACACGGAAATAGACGGCTATAGACGGAAATCCATTTTGTACAGCCCCGAAAAACTGAGTCAGCATTCTGTTGCTTTTTGTACCGCCTTTTGGGGGAGGGGGGCAGAATATGGCCGTACTATGGACATGGCATTTGGGTCTATTTATCTATAACTTTTTAGAGTACTTCGGTCTCGTGGTAGAGCTACTTCTTCTTATTTGATTGGGGGTATGCTTTGTTGATTATTCTGGGGTTGTGTCTATATAGTCGGTGCTGGAGGTTCTCTAGTTGGTATGGATATCGAGGCGAAAGCTACATATTGGACTGAATATGCAGGACAGCCCAGTCTCGATTCTTTGTCCTCGCCCAGCATAGAAGTCCAATACTTGGATACAGCCTTGAAGGTCCGTGAGTATATTATTTCCAATTAAAAAAGGAGTCTTGGAGTATTACACGTAGCATTGGGAATCTATATCTAGACTATCAAAGTACAACGGTATGTCTAAAAGTCAGCAAACTCCTTGTCAATCTCCTCAAAGTAGTCGAAGAAGCCCTTGAACAACTGCACTCCCAGACCAGGGTCCCGGCTGCCCGTCGTCGCCCGGATGCTATGCATACTGAGCTGAGGAATGCCCACATCAATTGCCCGCATGCCAATCCGGGAGCTGGTCATGGGTCCGATAGTGCCGCCGCTGCGGGAATCATTGCGGATCTGGAAGACCTGCAGGGTCGAACCGCAGCGCTCAGCGACACGCTTCATGAAAGCATGGCTCACACTGTCCGTCGTCATGTGTCCGTTCGAGTCGGCGGAGACGGACACGCCGACGTTCAGGCGCGGGGCGTGGTTCTCCAGGTACACGTTGAGGAAGTTGGGGTTGACGGCATGAATGACGTCCGAGGAGACAAAGAAGCTGTTGGCCACAGTCTGCGCCAGTACGTTGGGTCCATAGCTCGGAGCGAAGGCCTCGGCGATGCGCTCCATCACGCTGCTCATAAAGTTGGACCGAGCACCCTGGCGCAGCAAACTGCCAATCTCCTCGTCATCAAACATACCGACCATCTTCACCGATCCCGGGGATGTGCTGTCTGGTGAGGCGATCAGAGCCTCCTGAGCCGCGTAGCAGCATAGCTTGTCATCAATCCGTCCCGCAAAGATTAGGTCCTTCTCCAGACCACCCAGCTGCGCTGGCTGACTGTCATAGAGTTCCAGTTCCCAGTTGAGGATGGTACTGTAGTCCGTAATCCCCAGTTCCTTGGAGATTACCTTGACGAGCTTCTCCGGCTGCGTAGAGGCAAATGAGCCCGCCGCGAAGGGGCTGGTGGTGGACGACGTTTGCTGCTGGAAGAGGTCGGAGTTGTCCACGCCAATCACAGGTACCATCTGCGTCTCCTTGTTGAAGGGGCCCTGGGATGGCGCGCCGAAGTGCGGTGCCAATGTGGGAATACGGGCGATCGGCCAGTCCAGCTTGACCAACTTGGACTCGACCTTTCCGCTGCTAGGGTCCCGGACCAAGACACGGCCACCAATGGATAGATCCCGATCCCACCAAGTCTCATTCAGAGCACCAGCATATGGGGCAACCCCGAGCTGCTGAAAGCCGGCCTTTGTGGGGAGCTTGGACACGGGCTTCAACTTGGCGGTGAGGGCGTCAATGTGACCAGCCACGATAGCCATACCGTTTCCACTCTTGTAATCCTTGCCAATGGAGAACGCGATAAATGCGCTGGAGTTCCGAGTGCAGTAGTATTTCCCGCCGCGTTCAAGCTTGGAGGTCCACGCTTCGCGCTCGGGCAGGCGCTTGTATCCTTTGCTTTCCAGCTGTTTGGTGAAGCCGTCAACAGCATGAAAGATGGTCGGGTTCGCCGTCATAAACTCGCAGTACGGTTTCGCATAGTCATCTGGGTTAACGGACCCCGGTCCCGCAGTAGGTTGCGCGGTGGGAGCAGGAGAGACTGGAGAGTAGTCCTGGACCGGGTCGGGGAGGTGGCCGGACGAGCTGGGACGATAGGCCATGGCGGCCTCACGGAGGCCCATGATGTTCTTCTTGGCCATGGAGCTGTAGGAAGAGTGATAAAGGTGGTAGATGAGTAGTGGAATAGTCAAGTGGACAATTGAGGAGGAAGAGGATGAGGAGAGGGAGGGAATTGGAGAAGAGCGGAGAAGGGACGAGGTCAGCTGAGCGGAGCTTCGACGATCATTCCGATAAGCGCCGTGACCAGTTTGGTTGCTGAGGCCCGGAGCTCCGTCGGGCGAAGGCAAAAGTGGGCTTCATTGTAAACGAAGAAAAGCTTACGGTCATTGGAGTTGATTGGAACAGTCACAACAGCAATCGCTTAAAAATAACGGTAACATAAGGGGCGTGTATACCCCCCAGAATCTATTTACCAGCCAAGTTAATCGGGAGCTGCGTCACTGATAAGCTGCGTCCCACTTGGCCCGAGCCGAGGATGAACCACTATCTCCAATCTCCATCTATCTAGTCTCATAGTTTCGGCCTAGTCGCTCGTTCCCACATACGCGTTCCAATTGACATTGCCATCCTTGCAGTCATCCGTGATCGCTGGTCCAACGGCAACTGCAACCTCATAGCCATCCCGGACCATCACTATCCGCACCGGCCCCGTTTGCCCGTTGAACGGCACCGAAAAGTGATGGATTCCCGGACCCGACGCCTGAAGAATTGTAGGTTCGCAACATCCGATCTGGACGTATACCTCACAGGCATCTTTAACAGTAGCACTGACAAATACTCGGTCCTGGGCAAGTTCATTCGGTGGCATCACCTCCTGGCCCACACCAGGATCATTGCCCGTCGTGCCGTTGGCGCTCCCAGCGTAACTCGGATTCAAGCGATACCAGTAAACCATCTTATCCTCCAAAGGTAATGTCTGATTCGCCTGGTACATACTATTCATCCCGGATCCTCGATAGGCGGCGATGTAGTGGGGCAGCAAAGCTCGCCACGCATCGTGCGGGCAATCCAAGACGTACTTGGAAGATCCGTCAGGCATCCCGGGTTCGTAGATGGGTCCTATATAGTGGGATTCCCCGTAATCATTCCAACTAATAATCTAATAATGGTCAGCAGTGCCCAGTACATCCGAGAATTGCCTTACCTGAACAAAGGCCGGCTGCAAGGTCATGACTTGCTCCCACCGTATATGCCACAAATCGTCCCCGCGCCATAGCCAATTCTTGTTCCACTGGGGTAAATTGGTGTAGAACCAGGGAGAGACAGGCATCATGTACGGCTTCCCAGAAAGGGCATGCATCCATTCGCGATCGCTCGTCACGTTTTTGTTCTGCGCCCCCACCGGCCAGGCATCCCAACTGAAAACGCCGTCAATGATGTCCAGGTAATCCCTGAGTCTTGCCGGCCCCATATCGGGCCAGGATGGCATAAAGAAGCAATCAGCAGATCCTTTGATGTACGGCCAGTCGCCTGCATTACCAGCCCCTATAAATGTCGAGACTAGCGGCTTCCCCTGATAGTGATATTGGGCACTTCGATTCCGGTAGGTGTTGATCGTTGTGATCACCCGATCGGCCGGCCATGGGCCTCCGGATCCATAGTCAAAAGACAGGAAGAGGGAGAAATTCCCGACGCTCTCCGCTGCAGAGTACGCTTTCTCGAGGACATCATCGGTGTAGCTGTCCTGGGGAGCAATGTTCATTGCAAAGCCATCGATATGAGCTTCTTGTGCCTCTCTAATGTCCGACTCCCACTGCTCGGGGGTCATAGCAGCGGCATTTCCAACCTGACACAGTCAGTGAGCCGTTCTTTCATGGATGAAAGGCAGAAGTACTCACGATGAAATGAGCGAAAACAGTCTGTGGGCCAGATCTGGCGAGCACCGGCGTTGCAACTATAAACCATGAGATTAGACAGCCGATCAGCATTTCATCCAGTGTTGAACATCAATTGGTGGGTTTGAAGAAGCTGAGTGGGTGAGTTTCGTATGTAGACAACTGAAAGCAAAGTAGTGCTATCTTGAGCACAACATAAGCACGCCTAATTGTGTATACTTTGGTTTCGTATACAAATTCAGTCGCTAAGTGTCGAAGGTGCGGTCTCGACTTTTCCAAGCCAATAAGTACATGATACATAGGCGATCTACAATATAAACACACGGGATCACTCATACTTCTCCAAAAGGTATCCCTATAACAGGAACAAAGCAGACGGATACGAGAGCGACAGAATGAAGGGAAACAGCTTAATCAAGCCGATCATTTCCCAATATAATCAATCACAGCTTTCAGGAATGGGTGAACAATTATGAAATCTCGGTACAAACCTGGAGGTAATGGCGGCGGAGGACGGTGATACTGCTGATTGGGCGGTGGACCCGTCTGCTCAACAGGCGTGGAGGATGGCTCCAATATCTCTTTGGCATGACGGGTAATCCGGTCTAGCCAACGATCGAGGTGTTTCATGATGGAATTTGAGGAGGGAGACCAGGGCGTCGCGAAGAATCCGGCCAAGACACGAGTGAGCCGGCGGGAATGAAGGGCGTCTTATTGGCCCAAGGAGCAAGCTTCTTATTCGGTAATCAGAGGCGCCCTCTTCAAGAAGTCACAGCAACGGAGATTTCAGGGCGTTCAGCCGGGTGCTGTACAGCTTCGATGACACGGGGAAGATAGAGATCATAAATGGCGGGGACCGGCTTGGCAGTGCACCCGAGAGCTTTTAGGCAGAAGTGCTTCATGTTGACAACTGTTGACAACACGAAGCATGAGTAACCCAAGAGAATAAATCGAGCTATCAATGCAGAATCATGCATCTAGAGTTAGACCCGACTCGCGATAAGCGACGGGCGAGATGAGATCTGCAACGCGGCCAGCTCCAACATCGACAAGCAACGACAGTGCAGCTGACAGGGCCCAGACCGTTTGTCTCCCAAAACTGTGCATTCGTATATTTGGGAACTACCTCATGTGCCATGTGCTATGTCAACATCGTGACGGGCCAGTTGACGAACTGTCTAATTGTCGAGGCCATTGAATGTTGTTGATAAATGACGTCATTTCAGAGAGAGCTCTCTGAAGCAATGGACTCTGGGTAGCACCAAAGGACAGTGAGTCGGGTCCCAAACGTTGCCTATCACTGCGTGCCACAGGGTCGGCGACCGGCTTTGTTTCAAGCTTTGAACCAGAAATGGGGTACCATTGCTGGAGAGCATTGCAAGCATGACAGGCACCGACCTCACGGTGATGTCAGCTATGGAGGCCCCGCGAGAGGCGAGACAAATACCCCCATGCGCCCCGTAGTCCTGCACCATTCATCCATCTGCAAATATTGTAATACCGAGTAAATATCCTCATTCATTTGAGATATCAAATTCAATCGCAATTATGGCCGCAACACAAGCTGCCAACCTCGTGGAGAAGGCAGTCGGACATAGCGGCAACGCCTCCGTCACCACGGATGTGAGCAATTATTACGGGGAGTATGGCCAGGAGACTGGTGAGAAAATCAAGGCGACCATCTGGACCGGAAAGAACCATGTCGAGGTTGGTAAGTAGAATCGGTATCGGCTTGGCTTCCTGCTTTCCTTTATCTGACCCTGTGTGGTTAGTGGAGATGCCTAAACCAAGAGTTGTGGATGAAGGAGACGTACTCGTCAAGGTGACTGGCAGCACCATCTGCGGAAGTGACCTCCATCTATATCATGGTATGTATTCTGTGTCCGAGTATGTCTCGCCAGTTTTCGCGGCGCTCTAACCGCTGTTGGTTCCTACAGGTGTCATCCCTCAGCTCGAGAAAGGTGATGTCCTGGGTCATGAATTTTGCGGTGTTGTTGAGAGTGTAGGACCAGGAGCGAAGAAGGTGAAAAAGGGAGATCGAGTGGTGGCAGCCTTCCCCATTGCGTGCGGCGAATGTCGGAACTGCAAGAAGCAGCTGACCTCCCAATGCGAACGCACCAACCAGAATTCTGTCACCAATGCCATGTATGGCAAACGGACGTCCGGTATATTACCCATTTCATAGTATCTCTAACCTCTTATTTCGACATTATATGCTAACCTGCATCCTGGGCAGGCATCTTTGGCTACAGCCACTTCACTGGAGGCTTTGCTGGTGGTCAAGCAGAGTATGTCAGAGTTCCATATGGTGATGTCAACCTCCTGAAGCTTCCGGATGATGTCCCAGACGAGAAAGCATTGTATCTGTCCGACGTCCTGGCTACTTCGTACCACTGTGTGGTCGACACCGGGGTAAATGAAGGCGATGTAGTTGCGGTCTGGGGTGCCGGGCCCATTGGTCAAATGGTGGCTAGCTTCAGCTTCTCACAAGGTGCCAGTAGAGTCATCCTCATTGATGGAGGAGAGGCCGCCTGGCGCTTGGATTTCGTCCAGAGCAAGATCCCGAAGCTTGAGACCTTGAACTTCACCAAGCTTCCCAGAGGGGAATCCATTACATCTCAGTTGAAGAAGATGGTCCCCGGAGGACCAGATGTTGCTTTGGATTGTACAGCGGGTGAGTACGCCAAAGGATGGGCACATTATTTCGAGATGCTCTTGGGCATGGAGACAGACACTTCAGAGATGTTGAACGAGATGATTACGTCTGTCCGACCCTTTGGCCGCGTGGGAGTTACAGGTGTCTACGCTGGTTATGTACGTGACAACCACAATTACCTTTTGACTTTTTTTTTTAGTGAACTAACGACTACTAGACAAACCACTTCAACATCGGTGCTTTGATGCAGACAGGTGTCCGGCTCATTGGCAATGGCCAGGCTCCAGTTCAGAAGTATTGGAAGTATCTCCTCGAGCAGATCCAGAAGGGTGAGATCAACCCATTGGATATCGTATCCCATCGCGTCCGCCTGGAGGATATGGACAAACTGTACGAATTGTTTGATCATCGCGAGGGAGGTATCCAGAAGGTCTTTGTCCAAACCAAGCACTCAGCTCATCCGTCAACGGGATCGCCAGCTCTGGTTGATCTGTAAACGCTGCTTATACTGTCTAATGTTCTGTTTAATTGATGGACACTTCTTAATCTTGTACTTTACGTGACGAATAATGCAAATCACAAATATTCTGCAAAACCTCTTGGATTCCAGCGAATGGGGGTACGGAGGTAGTACTTGGTGGGACCCAGAGGGCAAAAAATAAGGAATGGAAGAAAGCAACCCGAAAATCAAGAAACGAGCGATGATCGGTGGAGGGAGAATTCTATCAGTCACAACGGTCGCTTCCGCGAATAGCAGACATCCCTATTGACTACGTACTTTTGAAGCACAGGTTACCAACTTCATATGTAACTTATGTCGCATTCATATCAGTTGTGACTCAATTAATTGAGTGATAGGGAAGTTAACATGCAAGTCTCTGCATGGAAAAAAAGTCGGTCTGCCGCGTTCAACGACAGGTATCCAAAATCGGGCCGTATTCGCCTCCAAGGGATTCCGTTCATCGGCATTTGAAACACTTACAATAAATGACTTCAACCATGAGCGCTCCAACTGCTGGCAATAACGCAGGCAAGTAACCAGGAAGAGTTTTCACCATACCCATCCCACTAGACTGAACCCGGCTAAGGAGGCGGATTTCCTCGACTGATCGTCGACAGGTTTTGGTTCGTGCATTACGACACGCATGGTTCGGATTTCCCGAAAGGGACTAGCGTAATCTGATAAGATCAGACGACGGAGGGAGCAGTGGTACCGAATAATGCCAGCCATCATGAACCAAAACCCAGTGCATGCGGGTTGGAGGTGTGGGATGGGTCTTGCCTGCTCCGGTCTGGTCAAAAAGGGAGAAGAATTCCTGAAGGGTCTCTGCGACTGGAAAACCGTTCAACCGGTCAGAGGTGATTGGCTCCATCTTCTGTTCTAATTGCTAATCACAGGCCCCGTTTGATTTCATTTTTCATTTCGTTTGTCAGGGAGTACCTGGGCCATTGGGGACTCGACGCCGAATGTCCATGTTTCTATGTGTCAGCCTCGCTCCGTTATAACTGAGGCAAATATTAAGAGCATCCGCTTTTGCCATGTGCTTTTCGGTTTTTTTCTTCTGCTGGAGACAGTGGTCTTGCCAAGGAATCCGCGCTCATCGCGGGTGGAACAACCACCAAACAGAGGCTGGACGGGAAGAAGACCTGTACCCACATGTGCGGCCTTTGGGGGGGGGTGAGAGAATTTCGAGTCCCGTGGGATGGGAGGTGTAGAGTGTCATGATTGACTCACGACTTTTATCTCGGACTTTTCGTGTAATCGGCCATGCTGATGCGTGGAAGATGTAGAGTTCAAGTAGTACTGTCGGTAGGCAGCAGAGCAGACTCCGCGGTTCATATAAGGCTGACCGTCAAGCCCTGCTTTAGAATCAACTAATGGGCAACGACGCAATCCCGGCGTACAAGATTTACTCCTGGGGGGAGAATAGGTGGATAACGTACCCTAACCCCAAACAAGTCCGAGCTGGGTGATTGATAACCATCGGGCTGGCGCGGGACTGGCGAATAATAGACGGGGGCGAGGAACGTCCCACCGTAACTCCGAAGTCGGTGAACGCGCACGATAATCTAATCTGATCCGATACCTTTTTCCCGGCCTTCTTTCCCCCTCTTCTTCCCTCGGTCGCCCTCTTGTTTTCATTCCTGCCTTACCTTCGTCCTTTCCTCTTCCATACCTTGTTCAATCCTTGCCCATTATTCTGTCTGCTTCGTGGCATAGATTGATAAAACACATTGCTGCTGCACGCCCAATCTTCTCCGGTGTGCTCTGCACCACACCTCGTCTCGCTTACCGGCTGAAGGGGCGCACTTCCGCTCTTCCGGCCGCCGAAGCGATCAAGTGACACCACCACTTCTTCTTCCTTCCCACCTGTTGGTCCGTTTCCCTCCCCAAACACCTCCCGCAACCCGCTCCTCGCGGCGAAAAATTATGACTGCTGACCACGACCCAGGCCACCTCTTACAATAAAAAGAGGTCTCCCAAATACCATGGCCACTCCAGCTCCCTCGCTCGCTCCTGCGCCGGGTCCAGCTCCGTTGGCACCCGCATTGGCCGCCAAGCCAGCCATCTCACCGTCTCCCGGTCCGGGCACACCCGGCTCCATCACCTCCAAGGAATGGGTGATCCCCCCTCGTCCCAAACCCGGCCGCAAGCCCGCCACAGACACGCCCCCTACCAAACGCAAAGCGCAGAATCGAGCTGCCCAGAGAGCTTTCCGGGAGCGTCGAGCGGCCCGCGTTAACGAACTCGAGGACCAGATCAAGAAAATCGAAGACGACCATGAGATCCACGTCGTGCAACTCAAGGAGCAGATCTCGAACCTTTCTCATGAGGTCGATCAATGTCGGAGCGAAATGGCCTGGTGGCGTGACCGGTGCCACGCTTTGGAAAAAGAGGTCTCCGTCGAGCGCAGCGCTAAGGAAAGCCTTGTGAAGGAGTTCCGGTCCTCGTTGTCGGACAAGAATGCCTCTCGCTCAGACAAGGCACCCTTGACACGCATACCCAGAGACTCAGCCGCCGCTCAAGTGGCAGTGGAAAATAACATGCACGAGGAGCGGGAGGAGGTGCCCCTGGGCTGTAGCAACTGCTCGAACGTGCACTGTCAGTGCATTGAAGACGCCTTTAGCGGCATGCCAGGCATCGAGCGGACGTCAACGCAGTCAAAGCGTACTGATAACTCGAGCCAGTCTCGTGCCGAACCTGAAATCAAGCCTGAGCCAGAGGAGATGGAGATCGATTTCACAACGCGATTCGCGGCCCCCCATCACGTCCAGGACGACACAGTCACTAATGTCTCCTCCCCGGCCGTCGACCCTTGTGGTTTCTGCCAGGATGGCACGCCATGCATTTGTGCGGAAATGGCTGCCCAGGAAGAGGAGCGCCGCCGGCGGAACTCGTTCGAAAACAACCGTTTGGCACCCATCCAGAACCTGTCGCAGTTCACGCCGCCCCCTTCCGACGGCGACGTGCGGTCCGAGGTGACCCTCCCACCCATTAGCCAAGCGACGAATCCCTGCGCCAATGGCCCGGGTACTTGTGCTCAATGTCTCGCCGATCCCAGGCGGACCCTTTTTTGCAAGACGCTGGCGGCCTCCCGCCCCGCCAGCGCTGCTCCCTCCGGATGTTGCGGCGGTAAAGGCGCCGATGGTGGATGCTGCATGTCGCGCAACTCCAACCCTCAACGCAGCGGGTCAACTCAACAACCACAGACTTCCAGCTCGCGCCGCTCGGCTACTCCGTCCCTAACTCTCTCCTGCGCCGATGCCTTCACCACCCTCTCCCGCCATCCGAACTTCTCTCGAGCCAGCGATGATATTTCCTCGTGGCTTCCCAAACTTCACACTCTGCCCAATCCCAGTCAGAGCCAAAAGGAGGTAATGCAACCAGGCTCTCGAGCCGCTTTGGAAGTCGAAGCCGCCAGTGTCATGGGTGTGCTACGCTACTTTGATCGGAGATTCGCCGACAAATGATTTTCCTCTGCATTCTGTTCCTTTCTACATTTTCTCTTCTTTCTGCCTCTTTCTTTTCGGCACCTTTTTTATTCTGCTTCTATTTCTCATGATACCCAAACCTGACTCATGGCATGTCTGAGTTTGTATTATACATACACACCTCACTCACACCTTCCTATCCTCATCTCGTGGACGGGAGAGATAAACACCTCTTCCTAATACCCTTCTCACCCATCCATCTACTTTTTCCTCCCCCAACCTCCACCCAGGGATTTATGAACCCTTCCCTTACGATCCGCCCCACCACAAAAAGTGACCATGAAGGAGGGAAACTGGAACCTCAACAACACAAAAATTCACTCATAAGAAAAATGATCAAAAAAGAGCCTAAAAATAATAACGACCGGACTGCCAGGATTGTCTTGTCTAGAGACCGCGACGAATTGAAGTTCGTTCCATATGATTACATTTAGACGGGTGAAATGAAATAAATGATATGGCGTTTTTTTTCTTACTATCTATTTATTTTCCATATATATCATTTCGTGGTTCTAGACACTTTTTTCTATCTTTTGCTTGCTTGTATAGGCTGGGGTTTGGTTGAGTTAGTAGAGTAATGGGTGGGCTATTTCAGGTTAATTACTTCGACTTTTCATACTATATTGATTGATCTAGAAGTGAACAACAGAGTAGTGGTGACATTGTGGAATGAAGAGTAGGTAGATATTCATTCGTATGATCTACATGAACAATATATAAATTGTAAAGATGACAGGCTCCAACGCCGATTCCATTCCGCTTGCTCCGTAGATATGACAACTGCAAGTAAAAACAATAAAATAAAGTACATCCCATAGCAGCGTCAGTTGGTATTGGTATTAAACGAAGAAAGGAACAACGAATGAAAGGAGAGGTCGAGAGTTAGAGAGGAGATCTGGGTGGAAGCGAAAGGTAGCCCGATGAGTGACAATTCATTAGAAGCGACCTCCGCTGGCCATCGACTCATCCTCTCCGGTCACACTGAAGCTGCCCATAAGACTGGCGCCCCAAATCCCGGCAATCCCCCACATGCCAATGCGCCAGCCCCGGTATAATCCCTTGATACCCTGGCCCTGGCGTTTCCGCTGTACGACGGGCTTCTTCATGAGCTGGCGCGCACGATCAGTCTCCGGCGCGGGTGCCACCCCCTCTTCGTAGACGATGCTCCACATTGTGCCGATGATGCCGCGGTAGGTTTGAGGCGTAGGCACGATGGTCTCGACCTCAGTGGTCGGAGTCTCATCCGTGGTGGGGGACGATACTGAGCGGATGGAACCGCGGGACTGCTGCCGGAGACTGGGGGAGGTGAATGTTGCAATTTGCGCGCGACGAAGGACGGTTTCAAGAGGGAACCGGACTGCGAGCTCCAGGCCCGAGCTCAAGAAGGTGAAAAGACCCCATGCCGACGGGTTCAGCACGGGATCAATGGAAAGGTATGATTTCAAGACCAGGGGAGTTGTGTTGATGATGAAGTTGGGGAGACTGGAGTGAAGGATGGTGATCGGGATCAAGTGAGGGGGAATGGTGCAGTTGGGAGTTGGGATCTGGCGAAGAGCCCGCAGAAGCGAGCGGGGACCGTGAGTGGCCGGTGTGAGAATGAGGAATGTGCGTGCAGTGTCAATGGGAGAGAGAAGCATCGCCGACAGCGACGAAGAGATGAAGGACAGGACTAACGTCGCGACCGGGGCGGTAGACGTCAGGATGTCTGCGGTCATAGAAGAAGTTACATCTTCCTCTGGCAGGCCGACAATGGCGGAGAGCAGACTGCGGATGAAGGTGTTCAAGGTTGGGAGCAGCAGGGAATAGATGAAGGTCGCGTTGGTCGCTTTCCAGGGCGACGATGGCCCGCTGGTGCTCCACAGCTGACCCAGCACCTCCATCAAGGAGGAGGGGTTCTTGATGGCCAAGGCATATCGAGATGACGAGGTCTGGGGTGGGATGTAGCCGCTCCGGTCGGTAATATGGCGTCGAGGCTTCCGGGATCGGGGAGTAGAGGGTGTTGGCACTGCGGGAGCTGCCGATGTGAAGTAGCTGCTCTCATCGTCGGAGGAGAGGGATTCCTAAGGAGCCCCAAGAGAACATATTGTTAGCTGTCTATTTCCCACCCATTGCCATAGTCTGTGTTGTGTACACACATCTTCGTCGTAGGAGTCGACCTGACTGTCCAGCCCAGAGCTCCGGCGATCATGCATCGCCCATTGTCCCTCCGCAGAATCATCGGGAACCACATAGGTCTGTAGAATGGTTTTGGCGACATCGAAGGGCTGGGCAGTTAGCACACCGAGGTATCGACGGAGTGCTTCGTCCAAGGCATCGCGAATCCAGCTGGACACCGAGGGGGAGTTGTCGAGGTAATCGGAGTAGTCCAGGTCGGGCAGAAGATCGCGCGCCGAACCACCAAAAACTTGAGTTGACGATGACGCATCGGGAGGGGAGGAGACATTGGAGGCGTCTAAACCGATGGGGGGAGGGATGTAGTAAGGACGGAGGGGATTTGGCCCATCCAGCGGGGCAGTCATGATGGAAGATAAGAGAGGGAGAAGGGAGGGAATTAGTTAATGGTTTCGGGGATAAGGATGGAAGGTCAAGAGGGGGAAGAAAGAAGAGCAGGTTGAAGCTTGCAATTCGGAGAAGAAGGCGAAAAAAGCAAAGCCGACGAATGAAGAAGCCCGAATTTCCCGCCGCTGTTCGGCCTCGCCTTTTTTTCGTGCCCCAGGATTCGCTCTGTTGCTCTCTCTCTTCCTCTCCACTTCTGCTGGTCCGCTTCTCATCTCCTCTCCTCTCCTCTCCTCGCCTCTCCCCTCGCATTGCGCTCTCTAAAAGTATTCTTCTTATTTCTTTAATATCCCTCCCTCCTCTCCGTCTTCTCCCAGCATCCCTGCGCCATGTCGTTCTGGAAAGAAGCGTGCCTGAACCTGCGTCATGCCGTTCCCAAGGCCGGGAACAGCATCGGTCGCACTCAATCCAAACAATTCCTCACCTCTTCCTACTCGACTCAGACACCCCGAGTGATTGCCTCAAGCAGACTGTCCATAAACGCCCGGAGGAACTTCCCGAGCCAACAGTCGTGGATGGCTCGCCGCAGCTTTTCCGTCACGGCCGGTGCTCAACACGGCCATATCACGCCGCCAAAGCCCGGGGAGGAGTGAGTCATCGCGAACGCTGGCTTCGTATACTACCTATACTAATGATTTATGCGCAGAATCAATGTGACTTTTGTCGACAAGGATGGCGTGAAGATTGATCTCCAGGTCTCCGAGGGCGACAACTTGCTAGATATCGCACAGGCAAATGATATCGAGATGGAAGGTGTGTAATGCCAGTTATCGCGGATGCGCGGAATTATAGGGGCATAGTGACTGACAAACGCTGGAAACTTTCAGGTGCCTGTGGTGGCTCATGCGCCTGCTCGACTTGCCATGTGATCGTCGAGGACCCGGACATGTTTGATAAGATGGAAGAGCCGTCGGACGACGAGAACGACATGCTGGATCTGGCGTTCGGTCTGACGGAGACCTCCCGGTTGGGATGTCAAGTGGCGATGAGCAAGGACCTCGACGGCCTCGTGGTCCGGCTGCCGTCGATGACTCGAAACTTGCAGGCAAGCGACTTCGAGCCCAAGAAATAAGAGAGCTTTGTACGAGTATATACGAGAGGCGACCGGGGATGAGGGACGGACTGTATGATTATCCAAGCGCATACACTGGGGAGGGGTTCCAGGTCTATCTATGGTTATTGTGGGCTCATTGGTTTGTAAACGAACGTCTCTATTGGGTATACCGATCTCCATTCACTTTTTGGCATGAAAGTACCTGTAAATAGCATATCACTTTTTAATCCAAACACTTGAGACAAAATGAAACAGAAACAACAGTAGAGCAACCCCTCAAACGCCCAAGGTATGCCAGGTCTTGAACAGCGAACAGAAACTTCTCGTAAAACTCCTTAAGCCTCCTCGATCTTCAACGGCTTGCCCTTCTTCCCGCTAATCAGGTCCAAGAAGCCCTGCTTGCTGACTTCGTTCACGGCCTTCTCGCGCTCGCCGATACCAACGGTACCCTTCTTGCGCTCTGCCTTGGCTGCTTCCTCTCCGCGCACCTGAGCGGCGCGGACGGCATTGAACAGCTTCACCACACCACGCTGGGCAATCTTGCGCAAACGCTTCTCCTCCTCAGCAACGGCACCCGCCTGGCCACGCTCCAGACCCATGACATCGCGAACACGGCCACGGTCCAGCTCTTCCTTCTTCTCCGCACGCAGCTTGGCCCGCGCTTGCCGATCCAGCTTCTCCTCCGCCACGTCGGTGCTCTTCTGGGCAGCGGCTTTGCTGCGCGCCAGCACGGGGTCGTCTCGAACGGATGTGGGGAGTTTGGTGGACAGGATCTTCGCGATAGAGGTGGAGAAGGCCGAGGGATCATTGCGCTTGGAGACAGCTCTGCGACCCATCGTCGCAGGTGCAGAAGTATCGGAGTCGGCACCCTCTTCATCGTCGGATCCTTCAGAATCGATTTCAGACTCAACATCACCATCCTCCTCGTCTTCGTCGGCTTCCTCCTCGTCGGAGCTTTCGTCTTTCTCCGCCGCTTTGCTCTTCGTAGAGGCGCCAATCGACTTGGTCTGCTTCTTGGGCTGCTTCACTTGAACTTCCTCATCGTCGGAATCGGCCAAACTGACAGCCTTGAAATCGGTGGGTTCGTCGTCTTCGGACTCTTCTTCGGAGCTGCTGTGGTATTCGCGCTGCTTTCTGAACTTCTTCTTGGGACCGGCCTGCAACGACTCGAGGACCTTGCGCTTTTTCATGTGGGGAGGCATTTTGACGGTTGATATTAACTATTTCAAAATTGACTGGAAGAAATATAACTTAAATCCGAATGTGGGAGGAGATATGAAGTGGAAAATGCAATGAACTTGCATTGAATCCCGAACTTTTTTTCCCAGCAATTTTTGGGTCCCTCGCGGGCGGCCAGCAACGCACGACTGTGATTGGCCGCGGGGCTCTCCGCATCGCTTCGCCCGCGCAGTTGGCCTCTCAGTCCATCGATTCATCCAACTCGCTGCATCCTCCATTCGTTTTCTACTGTCGTCTCTGCCACCTTTCACGAACTCTGGCAGCAAGTGACGCATATTTTAATTTGTACATGCTTTAATTTGGTTTATTCCCTTTCGACAAGAATACCCCCGCCATGGTCCTTCAGGATCTCGGGCGGCGAATCAACGCCGCCGTCAATGACCTGACTCGCTCCAACAATTTGGACGAGAAGGTAAGAATCAGATCTTTCTTTCCGGGCTGATGTATGTACTGACCGCAAATAGGCCTTTGATGACATGATTAAAGAGATCTGCGCCGCCCTGCTGTCCGCCGACGTCAACGTCCGCCTGGTCCAGTCCCTCCGCAAGTCCATCAAGTCCAGCGTCAACTTTGCCTCTCTTCCTGCCGCCGTGAACAAGAAGCGTTTGATTCAAAAGGCCGTCTTCGATGAGCTAGTCTCCCTGGTTGATCCCCATGCGGAGCCCTTCCGTCCCAAGAAGGGCCGCTCCAACGTGATCATGTTCGTCGGTCTGCAGGGTGCCGGTAAAACCACCACTTGTACCAAGCTGGCCCGCCATTACCAGATGCGCGGCTTCAAGACTGCCCTCGTCTGTGCCGATACCTTCCGTGCTGGTGCTTTCGACCAGCTGAAGCAGAATGCCACCAAAGCCAAGATCCCCTACTACGGTAGCTTGACGCAAACCGACCCCGCCATTGTGGCGGCCGAGGGTGTGGCCAAGTTCAAGAAGGAGCGTTTCGAAATCATCATTGTCGATACTAGTGGTCGTCACAAGCAGGAAGAAGAGCTCTTCACCGAAATGACCCAGATTCAGACCGCCGTCACCCCCGACCAGACCATCCTCGTCCTCGACAGCACCATCGGTCAGGCTGCCGAAGCCCAGTCCTCTGCCTTCAAGGCCACCGCAGACTTCGGAGCCATCATCATCACCAAGACGGATGGTCACGCCGCAGGTGGTGGTGCTATTTCCGCCGTCGCTGCCACCCACACCCCCATCATCTACCTCGGTACCGGTGAGCACCTGATGGACCTGGAACGCTTCGAGCCAAAGGCCTTCATCCAGAAGCTACTGGGTATGGGTGATATGGCCGGACTGGTGGAGCACGTACAAGCCGTGACCAAGGACTCGGCCTCCGCCAAGGAAACCTACAAGCACATCTCAGAAGGTATCTACACGCTGCGTGACTTCCGCGAGAACATCACCTCCATCATGAAGATGGGACCCCTCTCCAAGCTCTCCGGCATGATTCCCGGTCTCTCCAACCTGACTGCGGGTCTCGATGACGAAGACGGCTCCATGAAGCTCCGTCGCATGATCTACATCTTCGACAGTATGACGGCCGCCGAACTCGACGGCGATGGCAAGAATTTCGTCGAACAACCCAGCCGCATGGTCCGTATCGCCTGCGGAAGCGGTACCACCGTCCGCGAAGTGGAAGACCTGCTCTCCCAGCACCGCATGATGGCCGGCATGGCCAAGCGTGTCGGTGGACAGAAGAAGCAGATGCAGCGCGCCCAGAACATGCTCAAGGGTGGTAACAAGGAGCAGCAGCTCGCCGCCATGCAGAAGCGCATGGCCGCAATGGGTGGTGCCGGCGGTGGTGGATTCCCCGGTATGCCCGGCATGGGCGACATGGCCAAGATGATGCAAATGCTGCAAGGTCAAGGAGGTGGAGGCGGCGGTGGTCTGCCCGGTCTAGGTGGAATGGATCTACAAAGTATGATGAGCCAGATGAGTGGGTTGATGGGCGGTGGCGGTGGTGGTGGTGGAGGCCGCGGTAGAGGACGGTGATTGTGATGATGACGATGATGCACGCATTTCGAAACTCCTTTTTGATTCATGTTTTCGCGTTGTTACCATTCCATGATTATATTACTACACCTGTGTCTCCGTCTCTTCTTTTCGTTTGATTGTTAAGAGACTGAGGATATATGCCTTGCTTCAGTTCAGTCATCATTCACCTCATTCGTCGATTGTAACTAGCATATGATGGTGTTGGGCGTGACTTGATTTTACTTTTGCTTATCTTTTTTTTCTTTTTCGCTAATATCTGACTCGCCCTGTGGGGCATAAATCTATGCTATGGAAGCTTACTTTTTATCTTTTCTGTCTTACAAGATATATACTACCACTACTAAAATTATAGTATATCACAAGTCACAAATAGTAGATTATTCAGAATAAATTATCTTAAGAACAGTAATGCCAAACACCACCGAAAGAAGCGAGAAATATATTAATTGTCCAATCACAGACCCCATACCAATAAATCAATCAATCCACCCTCTCCACCCGTCTAACTCTATCCAATACCCCATAGGCCTGCTCCAAGACAAACGAGCGCACACGACCTACCGTTTCCTCAACGCGGCCAATCACCGTCTTGACAGCTGCATCCCACGTACTATCCTCCTCGCGATCATCCAAGAGGAGCTTACCCGGCGGGAAGCGAGGGTGTTTCCAGGTCGACGCAGAGGCAACCACAGCCTCCTGGCCAGACAGAGGCACAGCAAGAGAGTATTTCCAGATCAGGTCGGTATTGACGTAGAGGGAATAAGTGAAGACAGAGCTGGGAACGGAGATGGTCTTGCCAGTTGAGGTGGTGATGAGCTCATCTTGGACGTCAATGTCGATAAGACCGTATTTGGTGTTTCCGTCGGGGATGTATTTGATGGCGACGTCTTCGTCGTCGTCCTGACGGTAGGTCCGGATGGGGAGGTAGAACATGTTGAGCGGGCCGACGCAGAACTCGTGCAGCCCTTCGCCTGCGGTGTTGGGGAGGAGTTCCTCGTGGCTGAAGTCGAGGTCGGGGTCTGGGAAGCGCGTGGCTCCGAATTCGTGACGGTCCCCGCTGAGGAGGACGATGCGGACGCCGAGTTCGCGCTCTGCGCGCCACATGGCTTCGAAGACGGTGCGGCGTTCGTTGAGGAATCCTCCCCATGTGTCGGTGGTGCCGACATGCCAGTTCTTGGTGAAGGGGACGCTGGAGGCTACGATCTTCCAGCGGACTTCGGCTGGTTCGGGACGGGCGAGGAAGGCGAGGAGAGACTGGAGCTGTGCGGAGCCGAGGATAGTGGAGTTGGGTTGGGCAGGCTCGGAACGGTAGGTGCGCGTGTCTACCATGAAGAATGAAGCTGGACCATTGATGAATGAGAAATAGGTGGTGTTTTCGGGCTTAGCAAAGGGTGTTGGCGGGATGGGAGGGTTCGCGCTGACGTGGTAATGGATGTAGGGCTCCGCGGCGGCGGGATATGGCGCCGTGGTGTTTCCCTTGGACCAGTCATTCTCGATCTCGTGGTCATCTAGTGTGTGGATCCAAGGGAGACCATCTTGGGCTTTGTTCCATGACGGGGAGGAATAGACCCGGCGGTACTCGCTACGGTAGTGAGAGATTGAGGAGCCAAAGCGCTGAGGCACGTCGACGTAAATGAAATCACCTAGGAACAACATGAATGCTGGTCGGAGCAGGGACGGCAGTCGATTGACCGTCTCTGTCATCATCTCAAGTCCCGGGATGCGTAGTGGATGCGATAGCGGGTTGTAGGGGAAATTCGCCTTCATGCAGCTCGATGTGAGGAAGCTTAAACGGTTGGTTGATTTAGAGCCGGGCATCGGCGCGGTGACGAAAGAGCCCGTCAGATTGTTGGATAGAGAATAGCGGTACGCGGATGAGGGCTCCAGGTTCTTGATAGTTACGGTGGTTGTGAAGTCCGTCGAATCCGTCAGCGAGTAAATCACGCCTTCTTCTGTCCATCGCGAGGGGTCCTTCTCCGTTGGCTGATAGTATACAATCAAGGGTAGCTGAGCCGGGTCGGGTTCGCGGACCAGCAAATTCGCGGTAGTCGGAGAGACGTAGCCAATACGAGAGAAAGCAAGGTCATTGCTGGGATAGAGGATGAAGCCTCGTCCCACGAAGTCTAGGGTGAGGAGGGCGAGAACAATGTTGATCAGGACGGTCAAACGCGTTGACAGCGGTAGTCGGGGGGACGGCAGCCCAGTCAGCAAAACCTTGAGGACGCCTTCAGTTGGCGGCGGAGATCCTATAGGATGTTACTTTGTGTGCTTTTGAGGGGGTTGAGCCTGCTCATGTTGAGCCTACTTACTGGAAGCAGGTTGAGCATCCTCATTGCCCTTGCGCCGATCGGTATTGCTCTGGTCGCTCGGCCGGCCAAGCGACACCAATGAAGCTAGGTAAACAGCTAGAAATGTGACTATAATAGGTGGAAAATGATGGCCGGGGATCTATATAGCTCCAATTAGCTACCATGATTGCGTAGGCCATGAAGAACAGTCAACGCACCCAGCGGAGGAAGAAGAAGGCTGTCGCTCGGAGGGCCGCGGAGCTCGTAGCAGCAGCTACGCGGGGAATAGACACCATGGCGTCGAGAAGCTGTCGACACGATCTACGCGGATGAAGAGGAATCAGAGCATCACCAGCTCATGCAGCTCTTCCAGAGCGACAGACGAAAAGGAGAACAAGAGAGGTAGTTAAGGGAGAAGAAGAAGCAATTCACAGTTAGTCGAGTAGATCAACTGATTAATCCGAAAAGGCCGACCGGATGAGGCGCCGCAGCGATGACGACATGCTCTCCAACCCAAAACAACATCAAGCCACCAAGCCATGTATAAGTCAGTTGTTATTCTCAATTGCTCTATAATTATATATGCAAGGCTTGGAAGCTGCAAGTTATGTATTTATCGCTGCTGCATCATGTCCCGAAGAAGATTCATCAAGCTGTTGGCCATGGGTCCCGAGCGCATCATGCGCGCAACGTGTAGCACCTCCTTCATATTCATGCTCAAGCTCATCGCCGCCGCCCACTGCCAGGGCGCTTCGCGGTCTCCCGGTTTCGAGTTGAAGTATTCCCAACCCATCACGCCTCCGAAGTTGGGGAAGCGTTCAACCAGCAGACCTAGGATCGGCCCGATCTTTTCCAATGGTACATAGCCCTGCGATCCATTCCCGGGATTCGTCAACAGCCCGTACACCACCCGGTTCGGGGCCCAGCCCTGTGCAATTATAGTAGCATACATCCGAGGGTCGTCTGGATGGCCCCAACCATTATAAAACTGGGTATTATACCAGCTAATTTTGGAGGCTCGCTGTCGCTCTAGCTCGCGATAGTCGAAGCCGGACAGGTTGCCCATGCCCAGCATGGCCGCCGCCACTGGAGCCAACGTAATGATGAAGTCGTCACCCATGTCGAGCTTGAGCCGGTCGATCAGCCGGATAATGCCCGACAACGACATCTCTTCCTCCACATCCAGATCCAGCCCGTCCAGTTCATGGCGCCGCACCATGTCCCGCAAGGGTTGATAGTATAGTTCAAATTTCTCCTCATTACCGTCCAGGCAGCGGAATGAGCCCTGCGCCGCGCCTCCCAGGAGTCCCATGACACGAACCCCGCTCTGCTTCACGGCGGGCACTTCGGCCCATAGCGGTTCATACAGCGGCATATGAGGCGGATCATTATTGAGAGTAATGTGCTGTGGATCGGCATTGAGGTGAAAAGCGGCCAGGATGATGTGGGTGACGCCAGTATTGTTGTCCAGCAGCGGCAGCATGGAGCAATACTGGCCATCAGGACAGATCGTCTGATGATAGAGGATCACCCGAGGGCGCTCGGGTTGCGGAGACACAGGAGGCATCTTTGAAGTTGGCCCTCAAGAGGAGAATTAAATCACTTGCTGGTATAAAAGAAGAGCAAGAGTGTGTAGGATGCGCGCAATGGCGCTCTTTGATGGTTTCAGCGGGGAATGGGAGCCATGCGTAATCCGTCAATGAATGGCCCACTGATTAGCCGTTCAGGTCTCGCCTATCAGTTTGGGATGGATGTGAAACCCGACCTGCAGGAGATCAAAAGGCTGCATGAAAACAACCCTTCATGGCAAGCATATGCAGTGAATCCTAACTGGAGAGGTCTTGCTTTGATCATGCGCTCTGTTGGAGACTCTTTTCTGTGTCACCTTCTATGTGATTATGTCAGCATCACCGGCTTTGTTGGCCATCAACACCAAATCAATCACCAACTATTCAATCTAAACCCTTGCTACACAGGTATGACAAATCAAGAGCCATACATGCTATTCCAGTTGCCACTGTCTGTCAGTTTGATACTACAGTCTGGGTGATAGACATGAACAAGCTTGAGATTCACTTCTGTGTACTCTGTAGATTGAAGCAGTTCAGGGAGCTCCGCAACTCACTTCTTCTGCGCAAAGGCATTGAGCACGTTTCTTTAAATCTATCTCCTCATGTACTCCATTAGTCTTATCGTTCTATTCTCTTTCATAATCTCTTGATCCTCAAGCCATTATCGTCCTCGCCTTCATATCTATCTACGTAGTTAACAATTAAGTAAATATAGTCTCGGTGGACCCCAATGCGGAGCTACCTAGATCGCGCTAGTCCTCATTGAGCTTTCCCGGCTCTTTCTGCCTGAGGATACAGGCCAGCAAAGACGGGCCAATTGCGGTTCCTGCCTGCCTGGGGCTGCCATGTTTGACGGGATCCTCCATCCATCTTCCACTCTTTCTCCCATTCAGAGCAAATTACTAGTTGTTAACGACGCGCATTCTCCCTCCCGATCGCCTATCCTTATCGGCCCATTTATCCACAACCCCTATTCTCCGAAGAATCGATGATGTGCCTGATTGGGACGTGAAGTTGTGACCGATCTTATCGCATATGTTACCCTGATCAATAAACAATCCCAATCGTTTCCGCCGTCATGGACACGACTTCCCACGACACCGTCGGCGCGTCCACGCTGGCAACTCCCCTCTTCATGCCTTCATCGCCACCGTCTCATCCCGACCAGGGAGAGAGCTATTCTCCGGTCAGCACAAGAAGCTTCCGTTTTAGTTCGCACGGCGCGACCGGCGCAGACCTCGATGACGCGCGTTCGCCGCAACGCCGCTCCCCCAAATCCTCCAGAGCGTCCTCTCTCGAGCGCGCCGCGAACGAGATCGATGCCCGTCTGGCGCAGTACACAGTCGACTTCAGCCAGTTTCCGAGCAACCACGCGCTGGATGAGGAGCCCCTGGAGGAGTTGAGACTGCCACATGAGGACAACTTGTCCGACGTCGGTGGTCCGGATGACTTTACTGCCAATTTGGAGAAGTACCTTATGGGGGAGGATGATACCATGGACCACAAGCATTTCAGCATAGACCACATGGAGCGCGACCTGTTCGAGCCAGAACTCCATTCCGATGCTGAGCACGAGTCAGAACCCGAGCCGGAGCTGCAGGACGAACTTCCCCAGCCGCAATCCCAGCCACAGATCCAGAGACAAGAAGCGAAACAACCCCAGCAGCAGGAAGACTCCCAGAAAAACTCTCAATTGCACCAACCAGCTGTTGAAGATGAGCCGGAGGTCAGCGGATACAGTGAATTTGGGCCTCCTGTCGACATGTCTACCCCGTCGCACCTGCTACGTCGGGCCGGCGGACTCGGGAAAGATATAACCCATCTCGAAAATATTGAAGAAGATCCGGATGATGAGATGGAAGCGATTACAACTACACCCTCCGTTCGCAAGCACAAGCGCACTTCCAGTAAGAATGAGAAAGACGTAACCGAGGATCTGCGCCGGCAGATTGCAGAGCTTAAGGATGCGCTGCGCGAGCGTGATGAACAACTGGAAAGGAACCACAGACGTGTTTTGGAAGCAGCCTCTGCAGGAGAGCAAATCAAGCACCTACAAGGGGAGCTACAGAGAAAGTCGGAACTGCTCGAAGAGCTGTACGCTAAACGCAGCGACGAGACACTACTTCGCGAGCAAATCCAGCTTCTACAGAAACAAAACCAGGAGAAAGAGTCCTTCCTCCAGAAGTCTACCATGAACGCATCCGAGCTGGGCACTTTGCAAAAGCAGATGAGTGACATGCAGAAAGAGCTGCAGAGTCGAAGCTCGCACCCCGATATCGACACCGAGCGCCTTGAAACGATCGCCTATCTGCGCCAGCAATTGGACTTGGCTCAGGAGCAGCTGCGAAAGCGCGACGCAACCTTGGACGAGACAATGGGCAAGCTAAAGGAGGTTACAACTGCCAAGGAGCAGCAGCTCCGGGAGAAGAATAGCGAAATCGATGGCCTCAAAGCTCAGGTCAGCGACAATCTCCTAGAGGTCGAAAAGCTGAAAAGGGAGCTTGACCGTGTCAACCAGGCATACGAGACACTTGAGGAAAGAATCGCGTCTCTGGAAACTAAGAACCGCCCACTAGAAGAGAAGAACAGCACGCTAGAAGCCGATCTAACGCGCGCACAATCGCAAGTCACCGCGCAAGAGAATGCCCTCAAAGCGATGGCAGCGGACCTCCCGCTCGAGACGGGCAACACCTACACTGAGATCCTAGAATTGATCAAAGACCTCGGCCAGCCCAGCGTTCGACGCACACCAGACCCCTTCGCCAAGGACAAACTCCCCCAGGACCAAGACACGTCCCAAGACTTCGAACTCAAACACTTCCACGAAGAACTATTAAAGCTCCAAACCGAACTAGCAGAAGCCACCTCAGCGAAAACAACCCTCGAGCTACAACTGACCCGCTCGCAAGACCAAGCCACAGAAGCACAAACCCTCATCCACTCCATCGAAACCGAAAACACGCGCCTAACCAAACGCGCGGACGAGCTCAAGTCCTCCCTCGACAAAGCCCAACAAGAGCTATCCCAAGCCAACGAAGAACGCACGCGGGCCCTGGAAACCATCACTCGTCTCAAGAAGGAACAAGAGGACCTCCAAAAAGTCACCCAACAGCAACCCAGCCCACCCCCATCCCCTCCAACAAACACCCACCAACCCCAACCTCAATCCACCTCCCCATCCACAACCCAAATCCAAACCCTCCAAACCGAACTCACCACCCTCCGCGCCACCAACACCAACCTCCAAACCCTCCTCACCAGCACCTCCAACCGCGAAACCAAACTCAAAGCCCACATCCTCACCCTGCGCGACCGGCAACAAACCGAACTCCGCGCGCAGAGAACCAAGATCGAACACCTCGAATCCATCATCGCCACGAAGGACGAAACCGCCGCTGCAGTCGACGAACGCATCGCGCGGTCCGTCGAGAAGCGCGAGAAGGAGTGGCAGCGGCGCGTGGATCTCCTGCTCAAGGAGCGTGAGAGGATGAGTCGTGCGTTGATGTGGTCGTGGGGTGAGAAGGAAATGGGGAGTGTCAAGGAAAATGATAAGGAGAATGTGACTGTCGATGAGAAGGGGAGGAAGAGACAGGCGTATCGGTATAAGTATGCTACTGGGGTGGATGGGGAGTTGAAGACGAAGTCGTCGCAGTCTCGGTCGGGGTCGAAGAGGGCTTGAGCAGCTTAGCTATCTTAGTTCATCTGGACCCTATGGTTTCTCTGGC